TCTATTTTTAAAATATTCTAACTAAAAGCAAGTATCCATTGTTGGACGCCTCATCGTTGGTTTCTAAGACCAAAAATCCCGTTTAAAACATATTATCTCCTTTTTGACAAAGATAATGACAGGGATAGCGATATGTATTATATTGATTTTAGTCTTAGAAAACTACGGTTATTAACTTAAATGTATAACCACAGTTTATAACCAACATTTGAAGTAGACTTTGCTTGAAAGAAGTGCAAAGTTTTTGTGCATACTGAAGAACATACATTTTTAATATGCAGCGACGAAACTGGTAGGACGTTCACATGCTAAATGATACGTATCCATTACAATGTTCTCAGAAATACTATACAGAATTTTAAAATGTAATACGCGAATTACACCGATTTTAATATTAAAAAGATTTTTTTTAAATATCGGTAGTTTATTATTGTAATCCTGGCAGTCGCTTGCGACATCGTCCGCCATGAAATAAAAAAAAAACCTATGTCTATGCCAAATTTTGGTGAGATCTGTTTAGAGGTTTTGGAGATACCTTCTAACAAATATCTACGTATACATTCAAACATTAATATAACCCTTATGTTGCCTAAGGGATGATCACATAATCATCACTCCCTCATCACACTCGTCATCAAAACATATTAAAAAACTGTAATAACAAAATGTTTTTGACTATATTTATTTTTGTCTATAGTTGCTTATCTGTACTTATGTTATTATTTTCATCTGATTCGTATACCTAATCTTAGCTTTCATTTTCTTCTAGGAAAGTCCATTACATCCCCAGTTTCTCCTCATTATTGTGTTACTCTTAGCAATAAATCATGTGCAAATTACAGACAGATAAGTCAGGAAGTGGTGTCGAACTACGAACGAGTGGTGTGGAACTTTGAAAACAGAACCTCTATCAACCTTAGTCGTTTGTAATTTTTTTAAAAAATACAAAATTTAACAAAGGCAACATTTTAATACTCCAGAAAAAGTTGAACGCACGATGGCTTTATACATTCTTAAAAAAAAAAAACAACTCCATAGCGCGCTGTAGCACATCCCACAAGTTTTGTCACAAAGGTCTCAAGGTCGATGACCTGATTGGCGGGCGTACCGCATTTTTAAATGCAGCGTGGGTACGTTCTAACGTACTTCGCAAACATTTTAAAATATTTACATCGTCGATGGGATATAAAAATTTCAATGCCATTGTAATTTTAATAAAGTATCAAACACAAACAATGGTCTTATGTGCATACAACAAATTAGAGTTGGCTTTTTGTTTGTTTATCTTTAAAACATTAGTTATGGTTGATTTTAGTACAATTTATTAAGCAATAAGATAAAATGTGACTTTAAACGTGCAATAATAATATTTACGTACTTAATAAATAATATGCGTTAAATAAAGTGAGTTCTTTTAAGTCTGATTTAAATAATATTCCCGCGGAATTAAAAACAATCTAGTCTAGTAATGAATATAGGCTACATCGCCCGGGGATGGGGACCCCTCCCCATTTAGAAATCGGTTCAGTAATTTTGGACCCTATTTAATGCAGAGAATCTAAAGTCTTAACGTTCGCCTTTATAATATTAGCACAGACAATATGGCTGCGATTTTTTTCTTTTATTCTGTTTGTTAAAGTAAGTCTGTAAGCCAGTTTGAAACTTAATATTACCGATTAATCTGGAACGATATACATGCATACATAGTTAACATATGTTCATATTCTCTGCGTTTATTATATTTTATTATGTATTAGTCTTCTGGATCACAATTGATTTGTTTTTCTTGCCGAGTCCTTGCTATTTATATGGATAAGCGTGCTGAGTAGTAATTTCATCGGATTTAATGCGTTTAAATTAATCTTACATTCTTAAATATTGTCACGCAATCCTTGTCATTGTAGTTAAAACTTAAAAAGAGTTTCTAAATGTATTTTTTAGTTTCTTTTATAAAATTAAAATAATACATAATGAAAAATATTAAACGTTTGTTTATTATATTAGAAGCACATACATCGAAGGACTCTACATAATTGGGCACATAAAAATGATTTTATCTGTTGTCGTTCAAGTTTGTTTATATAATAATACTAGCTGTCGCCCGAGACTCCGTCCGCGTGGATTTATAAAAAACTTATTATATAGATAAGTTAAATAAAAAGCAGCTCTTCAAGGCATAAATTCGAAAAAAGAATAAATAGTATCCTATGTCCATCTCCAGGCTCTAAGCTACCTCCTCACCAAAATTCAGCCAAATCGGTAAAGCCGTTCTTGAGCCATAAATAGTGTACCTAACACGACTTTCTTTTATATAGATTAACGGTGGGTTTCTGAGCTCAAAATCGCCATTTATCTCCGTTTTGTCAATGAGAGGGATGACATTCTGTTATACAGAGATATCGATCTCAGAAACCCGCGGTTATAACCGTAATTCATGTATGAACAACTGACTGTCACAAGTCAGTAAACTTTAAGGTCTATAGTAGTTGGGGGAATCGATCCATTGACCCAAATATTCCGCCCTGCAACTCACGGACATTTTTTGCAGTTTTGTTATACTTTCATTCGCATCATATCAGACTTTGTGTTTAAAAAAATACCAATCTATATAATTTGAGTAAATAAGAGATTCAATTATTTGATTAAAATAATTAGTAGCCTATGTGTTCTTCCATACTATGCTCTACATATGTGCCAAATTTCATCGAGATAATATTAGTAAGATATAATGAGGATATAAGGAGATTTGAATTTATTTCGTGTACGAATATACATCCTGCAACTATTTAACTATAGACAAAAACCTAAAAATATTGGCTCCTAATTGAAATATATCTTTGAAAAGGAATTATAAAGGAGGAGACTTTAATTTAACTCGAGTTCTGCTATTGTGTAACCGAAAAATTTTTTCTCAAGCTCAGTTTCACACCAAAGGAACATTCTAGAACTTTTTTTCTGTCATTTCTTATTATATTTCGCAAACTATTGTAGGTTTATTATCATAATAGAATCATATTAAAGTTACAAACTAGATTAAGCCTAAACTTGTTTTGTATTAAATAGCTTAGTCACCATAACGACGGGAGTTCATTGTTAATATGCGTGAGATGTAACAGCATTTAATAGATTTAATGCCTAGACGAAAAACATATAGCCATCCCTTTTATAACAATAATTTTAATTGTTATTTGAAACTCAAAATTTATTAAAACCAGTCCCACAATGATTTAAAGCAACCCATGAAAATTCCGATGTAAGAAGAGTAAAATCAATTACCCTAGAAATAAAGTAAAAGTTAGGTTATGTCTGAGCTACAGGATGTGAAACTAAGCTTACCACGTTTACTGTAGTTAAGGTTACGAAGTCGATTATAGACAATCTTGAAATTATAAAGGAAATATACTATGAAACAGTACTTACAATTAAAAACACCAAAAAATTACTAAAATAATAATTTATTGTTCAAATCTACACTAAGGAACTAAGTATTAACCTATGATGTTTGCAGTTAGATGTCTAATTGTATAAACGCGTCGTTTACATAAAATTGTATTATAACACTGCTAAAAGAAACTGGAGACGATTTAAAAAAGCCTTTGTCTTCGCATTGGATCGATATCATTCCGTACCAGCACGGTAAAGACAACAGAGGCCTGGGCTATCGCGTGACGGGTCATAGATTCTTTCCATTGTGATCCCCTTAAAGATAGTTCCTATTACAAATACAGTTGTATTGAAAGTTCAAAGAAAAGAAAGTCAACAATTTTTTAATCTTTTCTAATCAGCCAGCAATCAGTAATAATTAAAAAAATCAGGTGTCGCCCGCAACTCAATCTGCGCGGAATTAAAAAAAAAACTTAATAACTAGCTTATTCTTCTATACTATGTTCTACATCTGTGCCAAATATCATCAAGATACGTTGAGCAACTTCGTAAATACCTTCTAAAAAAATCAATCTATCTAAACTTTCGCATTTATAATATTAGTCAGATTAGTAGGTACATCCTGTATTTGGACGCTTAGTTTTATTGATTTTTACTTATTATTATTAAAAGTATGTCAATTTTATATTTAGAAAGAAAGTGACTGTGATGACATCTTGATATTGAAATTACATGCCTTTAAAAAAGTCCGATAAAAACTTATCTGAATAAAGTATAGAGTTTTTTTGCACGATTCCTAGATATTTTAGAAAGGGAACGAAAGAAGTAAAAACGCGATAACGTGCTTTGTTTATTCAAACAAGTGTGGAAGTGCAACTTCCGTTACGTTCGCGGCTTCGGAGACGTTTTTTTTAAAGAAATCTTTTCTCTAACAACTTTTCAATACATATGCGTCGAAAGTTACTATAAATTTAATTAGATAAAACTATTTTAGAGAGAAGATATTTTAACAAGTATAGTAGGTACTATAGACTAATCTGGCGAGATCACTATTATACTCTAATACGAAAAAGTCACAAGGACATAGTTTTCTATTTACGAGATACGAATTATTTCGTAGATTGGAAAACAAATTTAATAATGCATTCAATTAAAAAGGTTTAATATTGCAAACTAACATGGCTTGTGTAAAGTTACAACAAACAATAAAAAATTCCCCCGACAATTCGACGTCTAGACAGTTGATTCTAATCCCTACACTTTACAAATGGATTAAAGAATTGGAAACAACGTAAACCATCGTTTTATTTTAGGACAAGCTGTTGCCCGGGACTCTGTCCGCACGGAATTGAAAAAAAAGCTTCATTAGTAGCCTATGTGTTTTACCAGACTATGTTCTACATCTATGCCAATATTCAGCAACATCTATGTTACATTCTAGAGATATCTTCTAACAAACATCCATTAAAACATTCCTATTTATAATATTAGTAAAATTACATTATATATTTGAAATCTTCTAGATATTTTCATGCAAGAAATAATTGTTAATAGTTGTTTCATCCATCACCTTAGCAAAGATGTGCAAAAGGCATATTAAAGTTATGAATACTCACATGCCTGCACGGAGAGAGCAAGGTCAGAGTCATCTGAAAGATATATTACTATATTGATATGCTTTCTACGTGCCTGAAGCATGAGATTAGTGTTGTGATATAAAAGAAATTCATATTAACAATAGACAGGGCATTCCGAAACCAAATGCTGCGATTTAAGTTTAATTTAACACATGAATGTGAAACTGCATTTATTTGTTCTACTGATGATTTATTTTATATGAAAATGTTTCAAATGTCCATTCTATAATCAATTTATTTGAATCTCTTTGAAAATTAGTAATTTGGAATTATTCACACTATTAACACAATAAAACAGTACACGGAATTAACTCCTTGCTTCCTTTGTATGTCCTTGTACCTTGTTATTTTTTGTTATAATTTCCATTAATTTTATGATATACAGATAATTAGTGTAATTATAAAATTTAAAAATATTTAAAGGTCCCATATATTTCAAAAAGATATTTTTATACCCTTAATATTTACACATATATAAAAATATACAGAAATTAAGCAATAAATGATAGAATTACTACTTACAGCTATAAAAATAACCCCATGTCGGTAATCCAACTGCGATAGCTCCAACAATAAAACAAATAAATCCGAGAACAACCACGGCTATTGAATACAGGACCTTTCCACTTGCCATGGCTACATGACTTTGCCAATCTCATGGAACTTTCTAGTCATCAGGATCGAATTAAAGTCCTGTGACTAATCAATAATGTGTTACACATCTGAAACAAACAGAAATATATTACATTAGGTAATCTTTCATTTCAAATACATGTCTATATGTATGATTTTTGGGTTATTTCATCCAGTAGCTTAAAAACCTCTGAAGACTTCTCTTGTTACCCTGAATAAACAAAGTTTTTTGTATAAACTATTACAGGAAATTGGAAGGGAGTCCTAAAGTTATTTTTTCAGAGCAAGATTTGATATTTTCTAGCAAGTATTATACCAGTTTAATCTTAATAAAATTTTATTTGTTTATTATAAAAGCTGGAATTTATAAAGGTTTTGCAAATTATCTACCATGAAGATTACCAATAGGAATAGGATTTCTTTAAGTAAAATACTTATCAGTAGCCAATAAGAAAACGTTTGTTTCGGAAAAATTAACTTATTAAACTGTATGGTCTGATTTAGTCTTATTAGAATCAGTTAGGGTTCTTAGACATTAGTATCAGTAAGACTTTTACTCACGTTTTATTAATTTCGTACCAAGAAATGATCACACGGTGGTCACTCAAGTATGCAAGACAAGATTGATTTGTGCAAATTTCGATCTAATAACATCACTCTCAGTCACGGACAAAAGAATGCAACAAAACACCCGTTTTCACGTGAATGCACAAAAGTACACCCGAGCCCGAGATTCGAAATTCAAACCACTGCGACACACCTCTTAATAAAATATTCGTCTCCTCACATATTTCATTAAAATTGTTCGATTAAACTTCGTTAAATAGTCGGCACAAAAAGAGTAAAAAAACAACAATTATCTTCCTGGTTCAGTTTTCGAGAAATTCCAAATCGCAGGAAAAATTCAATAAAATATCACGAAAAGCATGAAACTTTTACCGCGTCTCACCGACCAACCGACCGAGTGTGGTCAGTAAATAAACTGGTTTTTTGATTACCTACAACCCACACTACGACTCCGTCTCTCCACTGTCTCTCGTTCCGCTAGCGCCATAGCGCTATAAAATAAAAGTTACAGATTATCAAGCGATAATCCTTTATTTTGAAATTAATATTTATAAGTAATAACTTAAAAATTAATGAATACTCATTATAGTGGTATGGAATAATAGGAGGTTGAATTTCTCTAATACGCCCTGGAAATCACACAATTAATTATGATTGCAACACCAAGAGGAGTTGTCAAAATGGTCAAAATTGTCATGTATTTTTTTTAAATAATTTCATACCAAATAAATATGTATGTAAATGAAAACATGTAATCGCTACAATAGTTAGCAATACAATAGTTAGCAAGTCTGAAAAAACTTTTCGTTAACATCAGGGATTTCAATCAAGTTTTGATTGCAATTTGCAATAGTTTGTTCTTAATTCTAACGTTCCGTTTCATGTTCACATCGTTATAACAATTTAATTTGTCAAAAGTTCCCTTTGAAAAATAAAACGTATTTATGAACTTTATCGTGTAAATTATCTTAATAAATTACAAGAAACTTAGTACTACTTTTTAAAATGTTTACTTTACTATAATAATTTTTTAACTTATTATATTTCAAATATCCCACGCTTATGTTTTTGCTACATCTCAGTTTGTAATGTGAACATAACATATTTTATTTTAAGTTTTATGAATAGTAGGTTTTAATAATATAGAAAATTACATTCATTATTGTAAATTCGCATATGTAAGGATTTAACAGATTATGTTTGATAGATCAAAATTGCTATTATTGGCTCGAGGTCATACTATTTTAGTATCGTGCTTGCACCAGATACAAATGGGTCTAGTAGTTAGTTTACTATTCAATAAAGTCTACTTGAAGTACATTTATACGATTTACCATAACATTGTTATTACTATACACGACTTCACGATTCTTAGTCTTCCGTCTATCCGATTAATAGAAATAAAAACTTTTTCGTCGGATTTTTCGGAGTTTACGATGGTTTGGAGAAGCATATTTTTGTTATTACTTGCAATAACTTCAAATGCCTGTAAGTTTACTAAAGTTTTAAAATGATATTATTAAAAGTCCTGATTTCTTGAGAGTACTAATTTTTTTTCTCTTTCGTCAGATGCTGTTTCAAATAATGAAAGTGGGGTATACACTTTTGTAATATTAAGAAATAACTAGTAACAAGTGATAAATAAAATATACTAAATAAATCGAATTATTTTTCAGTCGATTGCGGCAGCATGCGAGGAAGTAGGTGATTGCGACGCGCAAAGCGACCATTGTAATAACACAATGTAAGTGCTTATATCTTTACAGCAAATAAGAATCAGAATATTACATTTATTATAAATCTTATCCATATTTACGTTAACACTAGCAGATAGTAATGTGATTGATAAAACGGACTTAAATTGTTCTAGCGGTTTCTTCTATAACGACACAACTCATGAGTGTGTAGTTAATATCAAACTATTACTACAAACTTTGACTGCAAAGTACGATACTCAAGGTAACAATTTTTATATTGACAAACATATCTATCTAAAATCTATAAATGCGATGTCTCTTTGGATAAAATCAATCTTTATTGTTTCCGCTTTTCAGATAAAATCCGACTCGAAGTCCTTAAAGTATTTCAAGGCGTAATAGTATCTGTAATTCTGTTTGTTACTTGTGCAAGCATATGCGTCCTGGGTGCTTGCATTTACTGTTGTCGCATGAATTACACGTACGTTCGTTTATAATATTTGAAATTAGTGGAAAATTTAATATTTAAAATATTTTATTGCCATCAAAATAAATTGCGTTCCTTTTACTTAATCGTATTTATGTGGTGTTTTAGTGACTACCGTTTAAAAAAGGACGTTGAGGCTTTGGCTGCCAAATTAAAAAGAGATTGCAATTTAAAAAGGAAAACAATTAAAAGACCCACTCAGCCTGTTTCAGAAAGCTGCAATATTGTAGTTGAAGGTGCTGGTGTTTATGTTGTTTAAGTAAAATATATGTGTTTCTTAAATTGTGAATTGAATTACACATTATATTTATTAAGTTTGCCTTTTTTTACACTACAACTTGCAACACGATGTCGGTCATTTGTATTTGTTATAAATAAACAAAGAATGCGCTCACTTCAATTACCAGATCCCGGTCACGAATAAATTCTTTATTATTTTATTGTGTCAGTGAAAATCAAAGCAAATCTCAAACTCAAATCAGTTAAAATGTTACGAAAAAAATAAAACAATTTAAAAGGAGCGGTGGCGTTGGCAACTTTGCATTGGCACCTGGCAACATTAAATTCTCTAAACGTCTTTAAAAATAAATCGAATCACACTCGCGCCTTCGATTTTTAACTTTATAATCAAATAGAATAAACAAAGTGCTATATTTAATAATAACAAATCAACGAAAATGTTAACTTAATTAATCAGGTATGCAAGCTATTATAGTATCCATCCACCATCATAATTAATAAGTAAGTATCAATTAACTTATTATTTATTACTCCTATCCTATAAGATTTGAACTGCCTACACTTACAATTTAAAATAAGAAAAATTAATATACAATTTTAATCAACAAGTATGTACATATAACTAAATTAATGGAGAAATTGATTTTATACAAGCCTTTGTTCTGATGTTTTTGAAAACGTGTTTGTTTTGTTATTCCAGGTTTCCAGAATGAGTAATGATTATCTTCGGCTGGTCGACTATGGTGCTTTATTCACATTCCTGATATTCATATCCCTATCAATTGGTTGCTGTACATGGTGTTACTGTATTAGAGCCCAGTAAGTAAAATACATTGAGTTAATAAAAACATAAATACCAAAAATATACACACGAAGGGTACAGATGTTTTGAATAAGTAAAACCTTCACCACGCTTAACATTTATAAGTCTTAACAATAACAAGGTTATAAACTAATGGAATAAGATGTTAACTTTTTAAACAATGGCTTAACTTTTTTTTTATATATCATAAGGTGGCAAACGAGCGAGCGGCCACCTAAAATCGCTGGCCATAGACATACGCAACATACGCACATTGCCTAACATAAATCAACGGAGGAGAGGATGCACAGAAAGAAAATATGTTACCTTCCCGTGCATCCTCTCATCAGGAAAGTCCACTTCCACTTTCCATCCTTTCCTTATAAAAAAAGGGTTGGAAGGGAAGGGGACTATATTAGGCCTCCGGGATGCACACTCATCAGACGAAACACAGAATTGCTTCCACTTTATGCCTGTCTAACTAACTACTTGTCTAACTTGATCTTAAGCTAAACTTCATACAGTCCCAAAACTGAAAATTAATATTTCCTTTTATAGTAATACAATTTCAAGTCTTTTACCTTAGACTTCCCATAAAATTACAACATTGTTAAAAAAATATGATGCAATGGACTCTACTATTACCTTTATACTTTTACACTAAACTAGAAATTAGTAACAGTATAATCAACTAGTTGTCGCCTGTGATTCTACAATCTCAAAGAATTAAATAAAAACCTTAATTAGTAGCCTATGTTCTCCCAGACTATGTTCTACATCTATGCCAAATTTCAGTGAGATCCATACAGTCATTCTGGAGAAACCTAATAAACATCCATCCATCCATTCAAACACATAATATTGACATTGATAATGATGATGATGTTGTATTTTCCAGTGACAAAGCAATGCAGCATTATGTGACAAACTTAGCAAAGCAGAAAGGGCTTCAAGTGGAACCATACACAATACATACCGAGCCTTGTTGCCGATCACCTCATGCTAACGAGAACTGCTCGATTTTTGTGCCAGATGTAGGTGTTATACTATAATTTCTTTTATACTATACCTTTTATATATTACAGTGGAATTAATATCTCGAATTTTGGGGGAAATGCAATTTTTAACTTATTGAGTCTTTAACTTAAGATGTTCAAGATGAAAGTTGTTTGAAGGGGAATCCATTGTTAAATGGCATTAAATAGTAACGTCAACTATTGCCTTATAAATACGATTAATCAACTCGAGTAGATTGAATAAGTACTAAAATGCCTACACAGCCAAATGAAATTTTATTCAATTTATAAAGTCTAATTAATTCGAGATATTAAGTAATCGAGGGTTTAGACAAAGGAAATGGTCTATTTTTTGGACTTTCTAGGGATTTAAATTTAACATAACTCGAGTAATAGAGATTCTACTGTATATGTTGAAATATTCAGCCATGACCACAACAACAGCAATAAAATTGTGATTAACTATACCTTAAACTAAATGATATTTACAGTTTGTCCATAAAATTATGATCTCATGTCTACAATTTTTTTTTGTTTTTCAATTGTTAATATTTGTTTTGCAACAAGCTTTTTGTTTAAGTGAATTTTGGATTCATAAAACATCCTGTAGTTAAAGCGGTTTGGTAGATGAACCGATGTGTAATTTTCTTTACAAGATGACCATCAGTCAAGTTTTTTGTAATATAATTTTAACACATTCAATGCTACTGTTGTTTGAAAAGGCTCTAACATGAAAATATTATTAGTAAAGAATGTTTTAAATATTTAAAACTTTGTTCATGTGATATAAAACATATGAGGGCTTCATAAATTTTATTTAATCCTATATTATTTTTCTATTCATTCTATCTACAATTTTTTATGTTTTAAATTATATGTCCACACAAATAACAAGGTCCATTTAAAATTGTGTTCAGTAATTTGTAAAAATGTTTGTAATCTCTAAATGTTTTTTTTTAAAATCGCATTTAAGGATTTTCCAAAAAAAGGTTTTACTCAATCTGTATAATAAAGTGTAACCTAGAAAAGCGAGAGTATAGTGATTGCCATATTTTGTTCGCTTATAGAGGTTTCTAACCAGAGTTTCTTGCTTATGGACTGTCAGAACCGCATAATGACTTACTTATAAAGACATCTAGCTTATTCAGGTGCAACTAAACGATACCACTAGTCCACATTTCCAATTAATATTATATAGAGAATAATTTTATAATTACCTCCGAAATTTTTATAGCAAAGTATATCTTACAGTGTTAAAAATTTTATAATCAGGTTTCCATTCCTAAAATAACTTTAGAAAACTTCATCATAAATAAAGCGAATTGTATTACTATATCAAAGAAATTGCATAAACAAAGAAATTTGAAAAGACATAGTTAAAATTATGCAGAAGGATGTTCTAAAATCCATTTCTATATAAAAAAAAATTATTGTTTTTGAACACCATGTACATATATTTTCGTAAAGGTATTTTAGAAATGGAAACCAAACTGTAAATTTATTAATACAAGATTCTAGTCAATTTTAGACTTAAAGTATAATATTTTTTTTATTTCATCAATCTTATATACCACATCTAAATTATATTTTTCGATCCAATATAACGTAAAACCTTCTGATATACTTATTTTTGGATATCTATGTAGTAAATAAAAAAAATGATCCATATAAAAAAGAATGTTTATTGCAAAAAGTTTTTATAGTATTCATATAGGATTCGAATTCTTATTAGATCTATATTCTTAAAACGATGTTCCTAATTCATGCAATTTAGAATTAAAATTTAATTGTAAAGGTCTAAATGTAGTTTTATATCTATTAGTGTCTTGGCAAATTAATATATGCAGCCTTAATATCTACATTTTTATATAATCCATATTTTCATACTATTAGTGCTAGTAAAATTGTAACCTTCACAAAAAAAAATCTTATCGTCGGTTTCTGACATTAAAATATCTGTATAAAACATATGGTCATCCCTATATCTTTAACAAAACACAGATAACAATGTTTTAAACGGGAATTTTGGTCTCAGAAACCCACTGCTAGTGAATTCCTAAAGTTGCTTTCTTGTTACTGACTATTTGTGAACTTCGTCAGTTTAAAATTTGACAAATTTTTTGTTTGTCTAAACCGGTAAGAGGAAATGCTACAGCGGTTTGTTTTATCAGAAAATATGTAAAACATACATCCGCATGGATATTGGCATAAAAGAAAAACTTTGACAAGACATAGTAAAACAAGGGTTTTTTTGACATTTTTTGATTTTAATAGGGTGCGTTAGTGAGCTATCATTATTTAGTTTGACTTATGTCAACCTGGTCACGTATCTTTGCTGATCTAAAGATGACCATTGGGTAGTAAGTACAGTTAGTAATTATAGTACTAGGTTTTACATATTTTCTGACAGAACTAACCCCGACGGCAGAAACGCTTATACCGACTTTGATATACTTGTTTAACTTATTTGGTATATAAAGTCAGGTTCAGAATATTTATGTAAGCTTAAGAAAAAATTTATTAAAACATGTTACATGTTACATACATCAAGAAAATCAGGGCACAATTACACATAGACATTAGATTAATATACTTCAGTCTAATTATAAATTGGCGAATTTCACAAATTATCGGCGACTAATACATTTATGAAAGTGTCTATATGTGATCCTATTAGCTTAGTAGCATTTTATTATTAGTGTGATTATTGTACCTAATTAAAGGTATTTACCTTTAGAAATAATCATATTATCTTTATTAAAATGTAGATTCGAAGTTCTAATACAAATTCAATTTGCAATGGTCCTAAATAGATGATCTCTTTACAAAATACTTTTAATTTTTAAGAAATTTATCTATGTGCCAAAGGTAACATAAGTTAGACAATGGTACAACAAACAAACACCTTTTTTACTAGACACATTTTTGAGTAATTTATTATCTTAAAAGTATGGTAGAAACACTGCTGTAATTGTAAGTTTAAAAAACAATGCCTATCTTTAAGGAAAGTAACGTTTCACAAATAACTGTAGAATTGTAATTTTTGTGACTTTAAAAATATTTAAAACATCACAAATAAGTTAAAAAATATAGGGTGTTTCCCGTTGGACCAATAGATGTTTAGGTCGATCGGCCCAAAAGGAAACACCCTATATTATGTCAGTCACATATAGTATTAAGTAGAATTAGCAGCTACAGTTATTTAATGACCTGCCAATCTTGCCTTTTATCTTATTAGAAAGAAAACTGTATGACACAATAGATCTTGTAATATTTGTACTTATATATTTCTAAATCTCTGTATTTTTAAACTCTTAAAATTTTAAGATATAAATTTACTAAATATATAGGAGTAGCGCACAAAATAATACATAGGTACCCACTTTATTCAACTTTATAATTTGCTATTCGTTCAGTACGAGCCATATTAGGACCGAGCAATCCACGCTCCTCGTATGGCTAACGTTAAACTCATCGTCTGATGATGACACGACGTCTCTACAAACATAAGAATGTTAGAAGAACATTTTTTTATTTCACATTTTCACGTGTCTTTGGTGTTTAAAAAGATTTAATTATAAATTTTGCTGTATTGGCTGATAATAATCACACTGTTAACCTTTTTATAGGAAGTATTATTTTATCTTCGTATTTATATAAAGTGTGTACATTGCTCGAAATATACGATCAAAAAGTAAAGTAAAGTTTTTTATTTCAAATCCTAATTATCTCGTATTTTTCATCGAACTGGACATCAGTCTGGACTAATAGTCGCAAACGATCAGTTGACATCCCCTGCTCAATAATACGCCTAGTCCGGTTTTTATTTTATTTTATAGTACAGTATATCCACAACAATTGCAGATACGTTGCATACCTTTAATCGACGGAGGAGACGAACAGAAAAAGAATACTTCTCTTTACTATGCCAAATCAAATCCCCTTCCCATCCTTTCCTTATAAGACAAGGGTGGTCCACTGCACACTTATCAGACGAAACGTGGATGAAAAGGATTCGCAATTTGTCAGCGACATAGTAGTTACATACTTACGGTTAACAATGTCCTGGATTAATACCATTACTTTAAGAAAAAAAAAAATAATAACCTATAAATGAACGTGGTTAATCTCCATGTTTATAGTTATAGCATATTTTTTATCTTTATGCCTTGAAAAGAGAGTGGTAAAATATTAAAGTACATTTTCACATAAATGATCATAAAATCGTAACAATATTTAGGTTATGGAAGCAATAACGTAAAATGCTCGGTATAACCATTTTATTAAATTTTCGTCTATCAACTTTAGAATGTATCCGTGAGTTTTTACCGTTCAAACATATGTATAAAACATATAGTTATCCCTTTCATTCTTTAAAAAATAAAGAGAAAACATATTTTTGTACAGCCGTACTTAAGCTATATACCTTCTTAGTTTAAAGAAAAATTGTTTGTAATATGAAGACAGATACGGTAAATATTTTTTTTATGTACCTACAGTTTTAAAGAATAAAATTAGTTGCTGTAGCGTGTCGTTACGAACAACAACTAGTAAAGAAAGATTATCAAAATATATAACTGAAATAAAGTTTGATAGTGTGTTTGTGTAAAATTAACATCGATATCGGAATTTCGATCTCAAAATTAGATTGATAGTGTTAGGTTGTGCTGAAAAAGAACTTCAAACTATATGTAGATATTAATTGGAGGAGGCTTCTTTATCAGCAAAAAGATAGGTAAGTTATTATTTCTTTAGTAAAATTAGCACACGTAGTTTTTGAAAGCGACTATTTTCACGGACCATCTAGAAAACAAATAGTTGATAAGTTGAAAATATCTTTTTTTTCTTAATTTAATGCTTGTTTTTTATTTCTAGATCATTGTATTTTTAACTTGACTATGTCGGATCTAAGTTTATTTTCGTACAATACATGAAAGGTTAGCAAATATTCTTGGAATCGAGCTTGCCTGAAACTCAAATACCATTCTAGACACATTACGTTACCCAGAAATTTTCTAATATTGACGTTGGCTGCTTATTTTTAGTATTGCACTATACAAATAATTGATGGTCGATATTTCCGGAAATAGAAAGCTTAAATTTATGACGGCTGTTGTTAACATATTTATAAAGTGTGGGAGTCACAGCCGGAGAATAATTTTTCAAATAAAACATAGTCTTCTTTAACTCATATATTTCTTTTAGAATTGTAAACAACAACTTTTTCAAAAACACCGCTGTTACATTGTCTTTTCCATTATCCGAATGTCAGAAAAACATGGCCGTCATTCAGACGAGCAATTACAATACTTTTATTTTACGATAACGAAATACAGTCAGATAATTAACATGATAAGTTGTATACTTCTATTTTATATTTGAGAATAAAATATCTAAATAATCTTGGATCGTATTACAAATGATTAATGTTGTTCTTTTAAATAAACAATATCATAAACTAAATAACGTTTTAGGTTAAAGAATTACAGAATATATAAAATGGCTAACAAAAGTTAATTTTGTTACCATGTGAGTGTTTTTAATATTAAAATAAATTGATTAGTTTGATAGACTGTTGAAAATTAGCATTATACTAAATATTATATCTAATAAGCAAATATAGACGTGGAATTAGTATAAGAAATTCTTACAAGTAATTTGAATATTTCGCAAAGTCAAATACAATGCTAAAAGTTAGGTATTTCTTTTAATAATTATTTTAGCATTCCAGCCAGCACCCGGTTTAGTTTTAATTAAAAAAGTTAATACAAGTAAAGAGAATGTTTGTGAATGGTCCAAGTGATTTAATCATGGAAATTGCATTGTGATTCGACAAAGTTATGTTCATGGAATGTTTTACAAATTTTGATGAAAATAATTTGATAGTTTAATTAAAATTCTATTTTCTTCTTTTGTCGCTTTTCCACTTACGTTAAATTTTCAAGGATTATTTAGAAGTCTGCGGCAGCAAGACTCGTATAAATTAATTACCTCTAACACAAGATTTTTTGGGTAAATAAAGGAAATGTGTGATTACACGTTGCATTTTACAACCTAATTCTGCTCACATAAGTTACAAGGAACGAGGGAATTTATCGTATCGAGTAAGCGGTGCCCCGGGAGGTCTTCGTTCACATTTAGCCTCTGCACGTTAAAGTGAATCGTAAATTAACTTTAAAGCCATTAGCCATTCGATTTCTGAAGGAAAAAGATATACGATGGATATTTTCATTAACCTATAATTAGGCCAAAAACCAAATTGTCAAATAACTTTTTAGTTATTCTACAAGGAATTTGTTATTGTTTTGTTTTATGGATTTTGATGCTTACCCTTTTGGTAGAATGACAGGCAGTTAGTGTATTATTTTTAAAGCTTTTCATGGTTTTAGACTAACTTAAGGAACGATAACCTTGTAAGGATTGTATGTAGAATACTATGGAAGGAATCAGGGAAGACCTAGAGCCCTAGTTTAAAGTCCAGCAACAAAGGCTGATGATGCTGACGATAAAGATGAATAGGACATCATTCAACGAGCAATTCTAGGATGTTGATACTTTCCACGTGCAGTCAATAATCTCTATTTAATTAAAGGGCTTATACTTTATTCAGGGATTTTCATTTCATATGCAACACTAATTAATCCCCTGTCACGTGCGAGGCTTGCATCAATGCATAACGAATGCCGATTGTTTAACGCTTAATTCTCTTATAATGAACATATGCATATAGAAATTTTTTATACAGGATGTTATTAAATTAAACAAAATTTTAATTATTATACTCGGAAAATAATGAGAATGGAATCTTTGGATAGACAGAGAATTACAAATATACTATCAAAAAAATCTTATTAGCTTATGTGTTCTTCCAGGCTATGTTCTATTTCTATACCAAATTTCAGCAAGATTCGATTTATCTAATAAACATCCATCCATCCATCTATCTATACATTCAAACATTCGCATTTATAATATTAATTAGATATTAGGTAGAAGAATGATATATGTAGTGGTACAAGTTATTTTGAAATTAATTTAATGCGTTTTCAACACTGATATGTTCCATGTCTTATATCTTTTCTATAATGAATTTATACATCAGATCAATTTGGCCAGGATCAGTTTTAGCGTTAGTAGCACCCTGGGCGACATTTGTGCGGTGCCCCCTTTTTGCTGTGGGGGAAAATCTCCCAAAGATAAGTTAGGGGGCGCTTGGTGCGTCCCTCTCTATCCGACTGTAACGTCTATGGCGACCCCTTATGCCCGGCAATCAAGACGGTCGCCCCACCACGTCCTTCTCTACCGCAGCTACTGGATTTGGCTATCTCAGTGTACCATTAAAGTTAAAAATACATAAGCGTTTTTGTTTTGAAGACGAAAGTAAGTTGATATATAATGTTACATTTTCGGCGTGAATATTTTATCTTTGAACGTAAAACAAACTTACGTTAAATAAACCAACGAGATAGCGTTGGAACGTTTGCTTTAATTAAGACACGACGTGCGATTTCCAATCTACGTTCCCAAGAGAACATTTTCATTAGACTTACAACACAACGTTCCTACTAGATTAGCTTTGAAACGTATTAAGATTCTATATTGAAAGATATAGCCAAATGTTTGGTTTATTTTCATCTATTTATCTCTGTTGTTTTTTTTAAATTGTAAATACTTTTAATGTTGTACAAAGTTGAAACAATTTTGTGACGCTAGATAAATTTTATATATTTATATCTTACTTCTTATTAATATTATAAATGCGTATGTTTGGATGGATGGATGTTTGTTCGCAAGTATCTCGAAGAAATTTGGCATATATATAAAACTACTAATAGAATACGTGTTCTTCCATGCTATGTTATTATGTTTTTATTTATTGTTTTTTTAAATCCGCGCGGATGCGGGCGATTAGCCTCGGACCACCGCTAGTAATATTATAAATGCGAATACTTGGATGGATGGATGTTTGTTTGCAGGTATCTCGAGAACGGCTGTATGGATGTCGCTGAAATTTGACATAGATGTAGAACATAGTATAAAGAACACATAGGCTACTAATAAAGTTTTTTTTTAATACCACGCGGACAAAGTCGCGAGCGACAGCTAGTCTCCGATAGTTTCTTATAAATGTATTTATTTTGTCGATTATTTTGCTATAGATATTCATTTAGATAGATAACCTTCTGACTTGACTTTATTTGTTTTTTGAATAATTGTTTAGTTTGCAAGATGCAGCTTCTCTTCCATCTCAACATAACTTGTTGAACAGTGTAGTACTTTCAAAGTTCATGTTGATTTACTATTCACGAGTCGAGTTTTAATTAGTTTTGAAAATACAGTGTAAAAGAGAATCTTGAAGTTTCTTGGAAAGTGTCCGATTAAACAGATGTTATTACTGTCTGGAATATTGAAGAAATGAGTAGAATAATTTAAGGAATGTTAAGTTTTTTCAATTGTCTTAAACGCAGAGATGGACAATAATGTATGAAGAAACGATAAAAATATAATATTTCTGTAGTTAATTTTAGACATTATTAGCTAGAATCATTGAGAGCGAATGGCGCGCTTTTGTTATCAAGTGTCAGATTGATTAGTGAAGGGACATAAACGTTGACATTTTTAATAAGGCTAGTGTTGCCCAAATACACCGGTATGTGTCGGATTTTCTACCTAACATTAATTTATTTAAATTATAATTTCTAAAATAGCGGTCAACCGCGTCTTCGTTAGTATAGAATTAAAAAAAGACTTGTCGTTATAACTAATATATATATAAAATTTTTGTTATAATAAATATTTTTTTTTCAGAAAATTACATATAGATAGTCCAATTTTATTAATTTTATCGATATTTTTTTAGAACATATAGAATTCGTAAGTTGTTCTACATGTATTTTGGCGCTGGAAATCCACTATTAAGTTGACATCTAAGTGTTATCGTGTGAACCCTTTAAATTATCGATTGATTAGAAATCGGGGTCCAATGGAACGATTAATTTGATGTGAATCAGTGGCCAAGGGTTACACCAATTACGTAAGGTTAATTTACGGTACGATCAAGATTACTATCAAAGCCCCAATTTAGATTATGTTTCCCAATAGTCAAGTTTAATGTTGGAGTAATACAATATTTTAATTTGATTATATAATTTGCAATTATTTAATTAGTAGCCTGGATTAAAAAAAAACTTAATAAGTAGTGTAGCATTCGTTGTGCTATATTTGGCTCGTTCACGTACCGACACGTGTTGCCGGCTCAAAGGTCTGACATCGACTGACGTCCCCTCTCTCCGGCATGTACTTATGGCGTGTACGCTCGAGACAAACAACACTACGTTTACGCATACACTACATCCCTTCCTTTTTTTAATATATTTAATCTTGCTAAGTATAGGTACTTGTATTCTAAAACTATCAATTAATAGAATACAAGTATACATAAAATTCGATTTTCTAAGTTTCTCTACACTTCTACATGTATATCCATTTTGTAAGTTTAATAAACTTAGATTCAATAACAATTTTCTATAAATTCACTTAATAATTATTTTCACAACAACTGCATAGATATTTGTTACCATCCTATACTTATCTTCCATGTTTCCATTATTTCTTCCTTCCATATATGCTCTACTTCCTTCCATTTGTTATTTAGAACGCGCCAGTGTCCCTCAATTCATTTTAAATAAACTTATTTTCGTCTTGGCATTTGTCACGTTAAAATATTCCGAACTT